AAGCAGAAGCAGCAGCAGCAACAGAAGAAGAAGAAGAAGAAGAAGAAGAAGAAGAAGAAGAAGAAGAAGAAGACAAGGCAGAAGCAGCAGCAGCAGCAGCAGAAGAAGAAGAAGAAGAAGAGAGTTGAAGGAGGGGAGGAGGAGGAGGAGGGGGAGGGGGAGGAAAGCAGGAGGGGGAGGAGATGGGCATAACACACTGTCAGGAGAAGGACAGTACACAATGAGAAAGGATAGACAAGGAGGGAGAGCAGAAAAAGAAGAAGGAGAAACAGGCGGAAGCACTGGGCTTCCATCGCCGGCCCTATTATGCCGAATCTGCCTGAACTAAGTAAGCTAGTAGGTCCTCCCCCTCTCCCCCTCTCCCCCTCTCCCCCTCTCCTCCCCCCCCCTCTCTCCCCCTCCCCCCTGCTGATATATACATGGGAATCAGGAAGATTAATGTTGAGTACGGTAGCCAAAAGATGTCGACTCAGACCCCCCAAGGCTTGGTGTATCTGTTCTCTACTCGTTCGGCAACAACACCCCTCCTTCCCTTCCCCCTTTCCCTTATTGTCTTCCCTCCTGTTGTACGATTGCCTTGATCCTCTCCACAACGACACCCATCATGGGCCTCTTATTTGCATCCCCGTAAGTGCACTCTTGGCCCAACCTGGCAATTGCACACAGCGTCTCCCTCTCCCACTCGCTCCCTCCAGGGACTTGGAAGCACCAAACAAGCTGCGGGTCCACCATCTTGCTAAGCAGCTGATAGTCCCAGTGTGGCACTTTCTTGAACTTCTTCTGGGCCCAAAGCACGAGCAGAATGGGGTGATGATGACCGGCATCGGTCTCGCTGTCACTCACCGTGACATCATACATATCTAGATCGTCCGTCTCGGGCTGATCTCCACAAGCGGTCCAGAAGAGGGCACTCCTCCCAGTGACCATCTCCAGCAGAATCACACCGAAGGCATAGACGTCATTTTTGGCCGTGAGTTTCAGCTCAATGGCATACTCGGGGGCCATGTACCCAATCGTGCCTGCTCGAAATGCTGTCTGCACGGTATCCCGACCCCTTTTCAAGCCTGAGCTGGGGTTGCCAAGCCTCGCGAGGCCGAAGTCGGTCAGATAGGCCTTGACCGCCTCTCCGGACCCCTCGACGAGGACGTTGCTGCTCTTTACGTCCCGATGCAAGAGCGGGGGGTCCAACTCCTCGTGGAGGTACCTTAATGCAGTCCCGATCTGGAGCGCAACGGACAGTCGCGACCGCCAACCCAAGGGAGCACAAAGAGGAGGGTGTTGTACTGGAGTAGGAGGAGAAGGCAGGGGGGCCTGGGCAGAGGRCCGACTCAGAGGACGAGGGTGAAGACGGTCGTGTAAACTGCCGCCCGCGACGAAGGGATAGACAAGGACRACCATGTTGCCCTCCACGCAGTAGCCGAGGAGCTTGCAGAGATGGACGTGGCGGGCGCGGCTGAGTGTCGTCACTTCGGAGAGGAACTGCTTGCTCTTCAGCTCGTCTAGCGCACCCCTCATCACCTTCAGCGCCACGTCAGCCATCTCCCCCCCTTCACCTCCCACCCTCAAGGTCGCCCGGTATAGGTCACCAAAGCCGCCCCTTGCTCCCACCACCTTGTGCGTATCACTGAAGCCATCCGTCGCCTCCCGCAGGTCCGCGAAGGGGACTGGCCGAGGGGCATCCAGATGGTCAAGCTTCATAGAGATGGCCGCTAACTCTAGTCTATCGCCTTGGAGGAGAGAGAGAGATGTCGTCATCGTCGAGGAGGACCTGGTGGTGGCATTGGAATCAACGCTGCAGGCTTTATCTTTCGCAGAGAGCAGCCTCGGACGGCCAAAGAAGATGCATGAACGTAGCCATCGCTGCTGCTGCGTCTTGGGCTCAGCCTGATGAGCTGCAGAGGCAGCATTTGCGCCGTCGCTGTCCCTCTCCGAGTGAAAGCAGAGTCTTCTAGTCCACCACAGGAAGAGAGTCGTGCAAACCCCTAGGATAGCGACCGCTATGACGCACAAAACGACAATCAACGTGAGAGCGGACATTCCATCGGAGGAGGAGGAGGAGGAGGACGAGGTGGGAGGTGGGCGATCGTACCGTGGAGGGGGACCGAACCCTGGAGGGTTAGCAGGATCGATGGGCCCACACTTGTGCAGAGCGCTGCGGTTAATGGCGAAGTGGAATATCTCCCCATTACTCGTTCCCACGTACAAATCTGCGTCCTTGTGACTGAGCAACAGACGGGATGGCTCGTTGACCCCTGTCCATTCCTCGTTGTCGARGATGGATGGACGGGTGCGATTGAAGATGACAACGTCTTGCGTCCACRAGACATTGCCATGTGGCGCGTCGAGGGCCACCCATCGCACCATTGACGGCTGTCCCGTGGGCCTGTYGTAKTTCGTCCATCCCGTGACRAACAGATTGCAATGATCCGAAGTTATAACGGCGGCTAACGGACCGAAGGGCATGGCAACCTGTGTTCCGTTAGCAAAGCTGACCGTTTGCGTCTCTCCGGTGAAGGAGTTCACTCGCCTGACGACAAAATTGCTCCGGTCGCCAACGTAGAGGAAGGAGCCGTCCGATGAAATGCATCGGGGGACAATCCTAGGGCTGTGCGCTCCAAACCGAGCAGCGGGTCCTATGCCGTCGATACGACCGTCCACGGTAGCCCCAGCTAGCGTGGTGATCGASTCGATGGGAGACCCTTGTTGAAGGGGCATCCTCTGAATCTGAYTAGGCGAGCTCACAAACAGCGACAGCTCCTTTGGATGCCTGGCCATGCCAAATTGGGCTGCTGGGGAATCGGCAATGAACTCCTCCTCTGTCCCATCCTCCACCCATAACTGGCGGATCTCCTGTGTCTGGTGATACCCAACGAGTAACGTAACGTTATCTTCCAAGACTTCCAAGCCTGYGACACGATTGGATACGCCGCTGCCGGAGATGTTGATTGCTTGGTTGAGGATATTGGACACGTTGTAGGACAGACTGAGAGGTGAATCAGATGATGGAGATGGCGGGAAAGACGATGGAGTAGGCAATCGGACGGCTTTGGCGATCTGGCTATCTTGTTCATACCGGTCGTGAGCGAAGTAGATGGTGCTTCCATCCTGAGAGAGGATGAGAGCGTGAATATAACGTCTGTAATAATAGGAAGAATTATCAGGTAATATATTGCCATAGAGAGTGAGCAGCGATTTGTCGAGTTGAAGCCAGGGGTATTGAGCGGCTGGTTCTTCTTGTTCTCTCCTCCTCCTACCCGCCCTCTTCCCCTCAGACTCGTTATCATCATTGGCCTCCGGAAAAATGACATTGTCAATAGCGGAATCGAACACCTCCCTCTTCGTGTCGACCTTCTTCTCCTCCTCCTCCTCCTCCTCCCTCGCCTCCTCCTTCTCCCTCTCCTCCTCCCCGCGCGCATCGAATGACATTACCTTTCGTGCTGCCAGCCCTGCAGATCGTACGCACAGGCGGTGGGACTGGGACGAGTCCCTGGACTGGTACTCCTGGGACTGGGACGAGTCCCGGGACTGGTACTCCTGGGACTGGGACGAGTCCCGGGACTGGTACTCCTGGGAGCCCGGACCCGCGGAAGCTCCCCCAACTCCCGCACATAGAATCAGTGCAGCCAGCATTGCTAGGAGGATCATCACAGCTATGGAGGAGGAGAATCGTGAGGAGGAGGAGCAGGAGCAGGAGAATCGTGAGCAGGAGCAGGAGGAGGAGGAGGAGGAGGAGCAGGAGGAGGAGGGGGAGGAGGAGGAGGGGCACGCCATCTAGTTAAACCAGTGCGTGAACGTTTGATTCGTGACCGTCGGCGGCAGATCCGAGTTGCGCCGCTTTTCCTCAGTTCCCTGCGATAGCGATCATAGCGCTTCTTCTTCGAGGCCGCTGATCCCGGCTGCTGGGAGGAGTGAATATTATCAGTTATCCTTACCCTTATCCACGTGGCAGCTATCCAATTGCCATAGCCAGGGTGCTGAGGTGGACATGAATGGATGGATGGGCCCTCTCGTTCGTCAACGGGCCACCAACGGAACCTGTTACGAAAGGGCAAAAAGGACAACACGCGGACGCACATGGTCGGGATGAGAACCAGATTGAATCTCGGGGAACTACGCATGTTGGACAATAATGCTCCAATAC